CTACGTTTTCCGTTTTGATGTACTAGTCTTGACATTCCATGACTTATCATCTCTTGACTTACATGGATGTAACCACGGCCATTGTATATCATGATAGCATAAACACGTTGTTGTCGCAGTAGACAGGCCCGGTTGTTCGACGTATACTCGAAGTGTTCGTCAAATCATAAGTAAAAGGAGCAATTCCTCCAACGTACGGACCCCAAGCGCGTGTCGAGCGTGGCGATCCATCGAGGAGACTGGGCCGACCATAGGGCCGACATCCTGTCGGAGAAGCGCGTAGACACGCGATCGAGCTATAGAGTTCCCTAATGGTTAGAGGCGCCAAGGGTTCGAGACCGCAGCGGCTCGAGGGCACGAGGGCGAGGCGTGAAGCTCGAGGCGAGCGACGAGCTCGGGAATCTCTGATTAAAGTCAACAAGCTACATCATAATGTTTTCTTCCAGAGATGAATGAGAAGAAGATGAAAAGAGAGGACAAAAAGATTGAGCGAAATATGAATTGAGCAATGTGTGTAGTTGGTCAAGTTACATGTCTGTCTACAACCCCCTGGACACGCGCCTTCACGGCTTCCGCTGACGGTATCCCAAGCACCACAAAGCCCCCTACCGTTGCTAACGGCCTACTCGTCGGACGATATGGGATGTTCCTCCTCCTCAATATCGACATCAGTGTATGGGGCATCGGGCAGATCACCCGGCCGAGTAATCACTGCCTCCCTGCGCCGGTCTGCGTCCGGCAGGAATGGTCTCATAATGACAGGTGCCACACCTCGGACTTCGCGATGCCACTCGCTGAAGCTCCTCGGGGCAAAACTACTTCTTCGGTGACTAGCATCGGAGTTGACTCGCCGGGAGTACCAGAGTTCGGCCGCAGAAGACCATCTGCCAGGAAAGAAGGCGTCCCAGACGTCTGGATGCGGAAACAAGGAACAGTCCCCTTGCACAGGGCCTATCAAGATGCTGCAGTCCCTCTCAGATGACCTATCGACAATGAAACGGGGCCGGCCAGGCGGGTTCCGCTGCCAGAGGACGTTGAGCCTCCAACGACACACCCGGAGGATACAGTCGGGCGCGGTGGACACGCGTTTCATCCTTCGTTGCCTGTACGAGGAGCTGAGGGATAGATCGAGGGTTGCGCGGGCACGTTTGATCTTGTTCTGACTTCAGACGTGGCGAAGACATGATTACTACGCGATGTCTGCGCACGCTCTGGCGACGGCTGTGTCGGAGAGGAGCAGTGAGCGAGCACAAGCAAGACAATTGCGTCTCAATGTAACCAAAGCGTGAATAGTCGATGTATAAGCGGAGAAAGCACCAGGTTGCGAGACGACGATCACGTCGTACTCATAGCCCGCACAGACGTGGTGGAAGCGCAAGGCAGGAGCGGCGACCGCGCGGCTAGGTAATACGAATAAGCGCGGTCTCGTGATCTCCACGTGTACGCGTACGCCTCACAGGAGATGGCGCTTGCCCTCAAATAAATATCCTTGGGTTTTCCGCAGCTCTGCGGCCAACTGCCACGAGTCGTACTGTGGGGAGAACGCTTCCCGGGTCACCAGGGACTCCATGTGCCGTATTCATTTATCGAACCGATGTCCCAGAACGGCTTTCACTGGTTACCGCTCATCCGATGGTAGCGCATCGGGTACATTCTGTGGCAACTCCGGCCCGATACCGTGTTTGAGCGTTCATACTGGCTGAGGTACTGGATATAGTATGCCGAATGGCCAGAATACCGATCGTTCATCTGCAGCCTGTACGTATCGTCTCCTGCACTCCGCGACCTTGCAGAGCCCAACATCTCTTTGAACGAGCTTTGCGCTCGCGCTCTATGACTCTACGAAGTCCAGTGAATGCGGATTGAGAAGAAACTCCTCTCCGCCTTCGAACACTATTGGGCAGTGCACGTGGCGATCGCGCAAGGTCGCGGTGTATCCGCAACGACTCGAGCTCATGGTGAGAGCTATCGCGCGACGCGCGACTACATACGAACATAACCCTAACGTAGGGGTAGTCGTCGGATGGGCGCGACGTCATAGCAAGGACATAGCTACTATGTACAGTAGGTACAAGATGCGCTTAGGGTCGATGAGAGGGAGGACCAAAATACGAGCAGCATTGGCGGCCGTGCCATTGTTGCCCAGTGATCCTGGTGGTCCTTGGGTACCTTGCGGCCCTTGCGCTCCGGTAGGTCCCATAGGCGGGAAACATAGAGGTGGTCCAGGTGGATTAGGTGATCATCCTCCGCCACCGCCTCCAAAATGGCTGGGCGGGTCTCCACCTGCACCGTGATTGCGAGGAGGGCCGCCGCCGCCGCCCGCACTGTTCAGTGGGTCTCCCGCCGTCACGCGGGGTGTTAACTCTCCGCCACCCTCGCCAAGGGGCCCAGCAACGATCTTCCTTAACTCAAACATCATCAGAGTCGCGCACAGAACATCTTTGCGAATTGGTACATACCACACAAGTGGATAGTTGCGAAGGAATAAGCGAGACGTCCGCGTCAGACATGTGCATGAGAGCGAAGTCCGACACCTAGCAATAAAAGCTTCGATGGCAAAACGTCGTCAGAACTACACACATCACATTTATATGGGCTCATACCTACCACACATCCGAAGATTCGCGGAGGATGGGCGAGATTCGCGAAACCCGCGCGTTGGGCGTCGGGGGCGTGCACGCGAGAGCAACATCCGCCGATAGCGCTGGCACACGGGGGAAGGCCGTTTGGAGTAACGTCTTGACTGCATCAAAGCGCAGAAGGGCGGGCGAAAGGTGAAAGGTGAAAGGAAGACCCGAAGACGATGCGGGTCAGCATTGGTCTAACCCTTGCGTGTAGCTTGGTGCGACGTTGGACGACATCTGGATTGAGACGAGACTCGCAGGGTAGGTGCGCGAGGTGGTTCGTATTCGGTGACTACAGAATATATCGGCAGGACTAAGGTCCATGGATAATTCACAGTATGTTGAGAAGAAGAGAATCGCGCGAGGAGTGGGGTAGGGAGAAATGCCAGTGGAGGCTTGGCGCAAGGAGGGTGGATCGATAACCCCATTTCAACCCTCGGGCCCGGGGCAGGGCTTATTCCGCTGCTTCCGCCGCACTCCCGCTGATCGCGGCACATCCTGCTGGCTAGGCGCGGAACGCCGAACACAAATGGGCCGCGTACAGGAAACACGGAACGATGCGGTCAGCGAATACGTCGGAGGCCAGCTCGCGGCGATTAGGTAGTGAGAGGGCCGAGTCGTACTGTTCTCGTCATAGCTCGATAGGCAATCGATAAATTGACTTTCATTAAAGTACATAGAGCCCGTGAAAGCGCACAAAAACACAGTAGAGTGCACAAAAACGCAGTAGAGTTCATCTACATGATACAAGTCCTGAGGCGGCGGGGAGAGACCGATATCAGGGGCAAGCACGCTAACAAAAGGACAAGATAGCAAAAACGAGCAGCAGACAGTGACACGACGATGTCCTGCGTTGTTATCAGTGAGTGACGTCGGTTCGTGCATGAAGACTGTGCCAACCCACCAGGCTGAGGAGAGATACGGAGCAGGAGTACTAGAATATAATCAAATCCTGCAGTATCACATGCTGTTGTCGGTATGTATCTTGCGGGTTATGCTACCGGATCTGCGAGTACCAGCTGTGGAAGTCGACGTGAGTGATGATCACAATCAGATAGTCCGAATACTAACCACCGATACTGCTTTTGACCTTCTTAGGTTGCTTGTTTGCGCGAGGGAGCGCAACACCTGAAGGGAGAGGTCATGACGAGGCATGCAAAAGAAGAGGTGAACCGGTATACCTCTTTCCGCCACACCCCAACCATCGCTACCACTGGCGCCGGCACTGGCCATCGTCGTGTGGAGGGGGAGGGGCTGTTGCGACGATGTGAGCGAGGTCGATGTCATGCAGCCTATATGCACGTCAATATCGTTCATGAAGAGAGTCTGAGATGTATAGATTTGAGGAAACAGTCTCGCCGCCTGGTATATGCTTATTGACAACACCGGCGAACGAGACCGCTACAAGCGAGAAGAATGGGTCCACCCGCACAGGAACCCTCGCGCGACGTTCAGACATGAGTATATGCATCGAACTAGGCAGCTACAGCATCGCTTATGAGCTTGTATGCGCAGGAGAGAGCAATGAGAATACGCACGGCGAGTGAGCCTTGCCTTTCGCCGCGGTTCACGGTAGTGGTCCAACAATGATGGAAGCCGCGAAGCCATGGGCATAAGCCTATACGGCAGCAGGAGAGGGCTCTTCGAAACGATCAGCGGTTGAATAAACTAAAAAAAAGATATGTGTGGTGGGAATACGCGCGAGCGCGACGACGGGTCGCGATGAGGGCTGGGGACGGAGGGAGAGGAGGGAGAGGAGGGAGAGCGGTGGGGCACATACCTTGCGCCATGGCGAGACGATGATGGTGGTAGGAGACAAGTCACGTCTGCCGCGACTTGCCTCTGGAATGTCACCCACCCCGCCGTGCACGCATATTGGCGACAAATGTATACATGAGCACAGAACGTTCGGAAAATCGGAGCGCGCACGCGCGCGCCTCCGCGCTTCCCGCGCTTCCCGCGCTACGTACCTCTGCGTCCCCGCGCCTCTGTCCTCTCTCGCTAGTCTGCACGCCGCTCCTTCACTCCATCTAGATATGAATCGACATAGAAATGTGCCCGGCGCTGTCGGCGCTGTGCGAATCGACCAGAAGACGACGTCGGACGTGGCGGCTTCGGGCCGCGTGGTGACGCGCCCCCCTAACCCCTTTTCGGTTTCCTCGTGTCCTGTAGCGTAGAGCGTAGGACCGCCATGATGGGCGTCCCCTTACATACTCCCCCAGTTCGCGATGTGTCCCCTTCAAAGCTCGGATAACTATACTTCCTACGATTCATAGCACAATAAGGGCAGACTAAGTAAGATAATGATGGGATGATGACAGGCATATCTCGACTAGAATGCGAGAGGCTGAACGTAACACGACTGAAGAGGGGACACTACATGGACAGACGCTGTCTCTTCCGCGCTCTCCCTTCCGCATCGTCACTAGCATCTGTAGTGGTGTCTAAATCAGCTTCCCTGCTGCTGGATAAACGTCCAGATCCCGTGCTGCTGGGTGTGCGGCCAGAACCCCTGCTGTATGCGCGCCAGTCTTCGGCTTCGGTTCCGCGAGCCACATGCATGGACGGCGCTCGTGCAACTTCTGACGGTCTACTGATGCTGACACCAGCCTCCGTCACCCTGTAGAATTTCGCAATATCCTTGTTATCCTCCCTCGCCTTGCGGATGTGGGGGGGATACTGATCCTGGGCGCCGCTATCTCCCACCCACCACTGCTGGTCCGTGAGATAGGTGTTCATCATCGTGAGGAAGTGCTGGGCAGTGCACTCATTGGTTCCCTCGATGACGGTGCTTGTGTGCTGCGAACAAGCAGCGTCGTATTTGGCTCGTAGAGCAAAATTCGAGCTTTCCAAAGGCGTCAGCTCGGTCGGTGGGGCGGCATACATCTTCCCGAATGGCGTGCACATATCAGCCATAATGAAGCGTAGCCCCTCTGGTAGAACTTGGCCCCTTGCCTGGTTGATGGCCTCGGTGGTGCATCGGAGATATTGACGTTTTTCGTCAGCACCAGATTGAGGAGTGTCCTGACTCTCGTCCGGGTTGAAGATCTTCCCCATTACATCCCACAGACGCCCTTTCTGTGTTACGTCTATGGTATGCCGCATTCGTAGAACCTTCACAATGGTCAGATGAGGTGAGAAATCACCCATGACCGTGACGTACATGCCAGTACAGAACATGACAGAACGACTCCAGATCGTCGCGGACATCGTGTACGAAACCCTTAGGATGCTCGAGCATGCGAGCAGACATGAACGCCCATGTGCCCTGAGTAAGATGGACTTCAGAACAACGATGCGATACAACATCAGGCCTACGTACTGTGCGGCTCTTGCGGCGCGGGATACCCTGACTGTCGATGTGAACGCTGAGTTCCCAATCAATCAAAAGCCCTTCAATGGCGCCCGCTTTGCCCTTTATCTTGGCTATGAGAATGTTCCCCTCGCTGATGTCTCGATGAAGCACGCCTTTAAGACGGTACGCGACATCGTGGGCTAAAGCATAGCAGCACATCAGCGCGGCATCATTTGACAAGTTCAAGGCTGGAGCGCACCTTCCAGGGCATCGCGGAGCGCAATGCAGAGATGGCGAGTACTTTTGAAATCACGCAACCTGCCGCCTATCCTTCGGAAGAGTGTCACCGTAAGAATATACGGTAGCATCTCTATATCCGCATCCGTGAGAAGCGCCTGGCCCACAACAGAAACGCGGCGTCGAAGATTATCGTCGTCCGCATGTTCATCCGCATAATCAGCTGTCCTAGTCCTGGTGGGTACCACAGGTAATATAGACGGGGTCCACACATCTTCCTCCTGCGCCTCCCGTTTCCACCGGAAGTAGTCCGCCGCTAGCTTCTCCGAGTCGACTGGCACATCACCTCCGAAGTAACAACCTGGTAGGTGGGGCACTTTCTCGTCGCCCTCGGTCGCCGATTCAAGACTAGCGTAGATGTCGCGCTCGCTTGGGAAAGTCTCGAGGTCGATGCGCCAACTGCGCTTCATGTACGTGACGGCCTTTTCATCGACATCAANGGTCGATGCGCCAACTGCGCTTCATGTACGTGACGGCCTTTTCATCGACATCAACCCCGACAAAGCCTTGCGTGCCACGTCCGATGAAGTGAGGGGAAGAAGTGTGGACGCGGTATGTCAACACGCGGTGGAAACTCCGCTTCGTCTGGTCATAGACATTGCACAACCAGTAGGTAGTGTTTTCGCTCTCGTGCGACTTGAAGACGCTGTCCCAGGTAACTTCGTCAGGCAGCTCGTCCCCGGCTTTGTGTGCCCTTTCGAAGATCTGGTATGCCTCTTTCACCAAAGGGTCGCAGGCAGCGATCTTCGTGACCGATGTGTCGATACCGCGCTCCATAGGCGAAGCCTCCGCGAAACTCGCGATGAAGTCTGCGAGATGGGATGTCGTCCTCCATTCGAAGAGTTCGGAGAAAACGACGCCACCGCGGTCAAAGTAGAGCAAACGCGCGTACTGAGGCAAGACGACGAAGGCGTAGAGATGGGTGCGGTGACTGTTCGAGGCCATGGCTCGGCCGTGCGCGATGAAGGAGTCGTAAGAGTCCGTGGCGTCGGAGACGGCGGCGGTGAGAGACCCGATCTTCTCGCGGTCTGCGTCGCTGGTGATGTACAGACAAGGGTCTTGAGAATT